TATAGAGGCTTACAATAAACGGGCGCGCGGGTAATAGGCGCGCGGCTAATAAGCGTGCGGCCGATAGACGTGCGGCCGATAAGCACCCCCTAGCTGTATCCCCGGCTACCCGTTAATAGTTATCGTCTTTTTCTACCGTTACGCCCCGGAACACCGCTAACGCAATAAGGAACGCGTGCGCAGGATCTTCCGGGGATACTAGAGGCGTGGGAAACGGTTTAAACCTTATAATAGTAAACCGCGGAGTATCCATAGCGATAGCGGTATCCGTAGTAATAGCGGTGCCTATAATAATAGCAGTGGCCTTTCTCGTACTATAATAATAGCCTCGCCTTTATCCGCAGTAATAGCGGTAGCGTTAGAGTCTTCCGACTCTAGATCTAATACGTCTACAGCTATACGCCTTAATAGTAGCCTATTCACTATATTATTAGATTAGGTAATACGAATAGATTATAGATATTCCCCGATTTCCTTAGCGGAAGCTATGGCTTATAATGTTTTAATCCTATCGTTAAAGATCTTATCTTCGTTAAAGATCACGTCGCTTATAGTAATAATATCCGCTAGGTATAGTAGCTATATACGGAAGCTATTTAAGGAATAGTAACTAATATAATAACCGATCTATACCTTCGGTTGTAGCCTTTATAGGCGGTTCCTTTTAGCTTAGGTATCGCGCGTTTTTATTAAGACTTTATAGCCATATACTTATAGGTGTGTAAGGTTAGGATAACGGCCGCGTAGGCCTTTATATAGCGTCTTCTAATCGTTAATATAGTATAGGGTTTTATTATATAGATATACGGTAGTCTTAAAGATCTTAGGCTAGATGGATATAGGCAGATTAGCTTTAATCCTTATAGCCCTCGCGCTTCTCCTAACGATATCTTTAATCCGTTCTACTACACCGTTTTAATCCTATAAATATAATACCGATAGCTTGCCTTCTACCCCCTTAGTAGCGAGGAAAGTAATAACTTCTAGGTGCTAAAATATCTCGGAATCGGCTTATAGGATACGTAGCCTAACATCGAATTAAGTCTTAAGCAGGGTAAAAACGTCTTTTAACGTATTAAGGATAAAGCCTTAGTCTCTTTTTTATAGGTAATAAGCCTATATATATTCTATAAAAACGTCTATAACGAATATAATAGACTTATATAGGCCGCCTAGCGATTCTGACTCTTCTAAATCATAAATATCGACAGCCAGGGCTTTGCCGGGCCTTAATAGGTAGAGGGATAGTATACGTCTAATCTATATAGGTATTTACGATTATCTATACGCGTTATACTCTACGGTTTATAGCCCTTTAATCCTTACCCCCTAAGTAGTGTCGATAATTCTTATAAGGGTATCGGTACTAAAATAGCCGAGGCGTTTATACCACCTTTACGCGGTAGTCTTCTACGGTTACCGCAGTTATCGTAATCTTTTATACGAGTTATCGTGTGGGTGCTAAGCTAAAACCGTAAACGCGGTAATGGTAGCCGTATCTTCCACACGCTCGATTATATACTAGCCGTAGATAACTAGTAGCTTATGGATAGGCCGGTTATCGGCAGAGCTAATAATAGTATTCTTTATAGTATCCTAATAATAGCCTTATAGGCATAGCTAGTATTCCGAGACGATATTAGTAATAAACTCTTTATAGTATACGATATCGTATAGGCGTAATAGCCTATTTATACCGGATAGGGATTATACACGTAGCTTAATATCTCCGTACCCTAGGATAGGTGCCTTATAGGTACCCACTTAGAGAGATAAAGATAAGGTATTAGTGGGTAGTCTAATGGCCGTAAAACGGCCTTAATTATTAAAGACGTGGATTAACGATCCTAAGTCGAGGATCGCGTAGTGCAGTAATACTTTAGGTTAGTTAATAAAGAGCGACGCTCTCTATTATAATCTTAATAGTATCGTCGAATAAGGGCGCGCTACCCCCCCTTCTTAGGGGGGGTGGACGCCTAGCCGTATACTCGTGGTAACGGAAAGGTCTTTTAAGACTATACTTACGGGCGGCGTAGTAACCCCCTGATTTTATAGTGTAGTAGTTATAATACGCGTAGTATTATAGAGTTAATCTTCCAAGACTTCCTCTATCTTATTAGCGGTAGTAGCCCTTAAGGCTTCCCGCCTTTTCTATATCACGGTATCCACGCGGCTTTTAAAACTATAGTTACATATCTTCTTTTCTATAAGCATTATAATATCTTCACGGCCACGCTAGGTATAAGGAAGTATATCCGGCCTTACGTACTAATAGGCGGCGGTGGTATAGGTATTCTTATATATCTTATAGAGCCTCCTTATTACGGGAGGGATAGCCTTTACGGATATATTACTACCAGGACGCTTTTTATTATCTTTATTATTAGCAGTATCCTTAGTATCGGGAAGGTTCTTAAGGGTATTAAAGGTGCCTCTCCTAATTCTAGGCTTTATAGCGGAGGATTATAGACTCCTTATACTACTAAGAACCGCCTTTAAAGCCTTTACGAAGTCGTTAATTATTAGCTTATTTTCCGTAATCTTATCGTAGTTATTAACTAGGTAGTTATTACTCTATTCCCAGATAATAGGTCGACTAGCTTTTAACGCGTCTTCCGCCTAATAATCCGCGCTTAATAGCTCTAAAACGCCTATATATTTATAATATATTATCGTTATTCTCTAGCTTATAACCTACCCGTCTATATCCTTAGGTATAGCCTTTATAGCCATAGTATATTATCGGTATAGGACTAGGGCTTCCTTATAGAGGTCTATAGGGGTTAGTCCTATATACGCGTAGAGGAGAGTAATCTAGACTTATAGGTTATTTATGGTATTATTCTATACCTAGGCGAGGAGATTATATAACATAGTATAAACGGTCCCTTTAATATATAAGCGTACCTTATTAAACTCCTTCTACTACACTTCGTAGTTGGCTTTTTCCTCGTTGTATGCACGATAATCATATAGGTAGCGCATACGCCCCTTTTCGGGGAGGTCGTTAATAGACGTGGGCGTCCTTATGAGTGGTTCTTTTAATACGACCGTAGCCTTCCGGCGAGCGGCCGTCTTCTTCTTACCGGCGGCCGTAGTAACCGTAATAGCCGTAGTAGCGGCGGCGTCTATAGTATCGGTAGCCTTATCGCTCTTTAACGTGATAATGGCAGATACAGTAGCCGTGGCCTCCTGTATTGCGTTAGGGTTAATAAGGGCTTTGTATTTACGGATATTAGATCGTATAGACTTAAGGAGTAGGTAGGTATTAGCCTCGTTATCGCTTAGCTCTAGATTAAGGTAGTTATACTAGTAGGAGGTAGATTTATCGCGTATAGCGTGCCTCTATATCGCCTAATCCCTCTAGTTAATAAGAGTAAGAACGGCTACCTTTTATTCGGCGTTAGATACGTTAGAAGATATCTTTACTTACTTATCGGTTAATTAATTAATTAATAGGTAGGTTAGTAGGTTCATTAATCACTAAATTACTCTAATTAGGTTAATAGTAGTTATTTAAGAGTGCTTATATAAACGTGATTACTGTTATAGTAGAATAGGGGTAGCCTTATTAATATCTATCGTTTAGGCGTTATAAACTGGACTTATAATTATCGTATATTAAAATAGCACTTATATAATCAACTTAATTGAGCAAAAATCTCGTGTATATATCTTATATTATGTTATATCTATATAAGTCTCTTATACCCTTAATTTAGGTGGTAAAGACTCTGTTATAGATACCATGTTATTTGGATCCTATCCGGTCTTTTCCGGTATCCTCCCTTATTATATCCTGATGCCCGAGGTCCCCGAGATCCGAAGCCCTTAGTTAGGCATAGATTCCCTAGGGACTATATCGTGGTCCGTGTGTCTATACGACAAGTTAAGCGTTCGTAATACGCTTACTTAGAGGAATTATCGCGTAGTATACTAATAAGTAAGATAGGCTTATAACGTTAAGAACGGAAGTAGAGCTATTAGCTTTAGTATAAGGTATAAAGGAGGGTATCTTTATATAAGGCATATTATATAGGATAGGGGTGGAATTTAATGATGCGGAATTAGGATCCTATACGATAATAACTAAATAATTCCGTTAGTTAAAAAAGAGATTGGTATATTAATAACGCGCCTTCTCTACATCCATATCCACGGCCACTAGTTACGTTAAGTAAAGGAATAAGGCTAAATACTCGTAACGTATATTACGAGCGCGGAAATAGGAGTAGACGGGCTGATAAAGGCGCTATATGGCGAGAAATTTAAGATATTTAGGTCCTAGGTAGGCGTAGTAGATATACGGGAACTGCTATAGTAAAAATAGCTCGAGGAAGTCCGGATAGAGTATTTAGAGGGTGTAGAGGATAAATTTAAGGCCGGCTATAATGAAGAGATTATATAGGTTATATACCTATTATATCTGCCGGTTACGAATAGCTTTAATCGCGTAACCGATATTTAGGGCGATTAGGGGGTATAATAAATAGACTATAGTCTTTTTAGTTATATAACAGGCGGGATTACCCAGATTATAATCCGGGTAAACGTGTATAGAATCTACGCTATATAAAATACGGTAGTAGCGGTTCCCTGACGGTCGGACATGGTTATAATTGTACATAATTGCCTTAATTGATTTTGACCTATTTTGTGACGATTTCGACTACGCTTTATCTGACAGTACTTAGGTAGCTTTGTATGCTTGGCGGGACCCACTACTTTACTGGCAAAATAGCATTCTGTACTGGCGCCTGAGTAGGGCCCATGACTTCAGAGTCACGATGGTCTCTCAGGTAATATCGCGCAACAGACGAATAATTACCTGGTACAATCAAGAACATTGCGCTAGGTATAATACAACTACGTACTTTTTGAGTTTATTAGTTTATTTGTCTTGCCGAACTACTCGCCCTACAATTAATCTTCTTCCGAGACTGGTCTTGTCGGTCGATAATGTCCCTCAGCGATTGGACACTGCGGACGTCTTGGGGGGTCAAGGCAGAGGCAGGCGAGCCGATGGCCTCCATTCACGTCCGTGACCTCCAAGCCCATGCCCGGGCCGGTGTCGACGCCTGGGGCCGAACAGGGAAAGAACAGCCGCTCCTCGTGTCGGCCAATCTGTCCCTGGCCGACCGTTTCCACGCAGCGGCCTCTACCGACCGTGTCAGCGATGATACGGTCCACTATGGTATTCTTGCCAAGGGCATCCTGGCCAGTCTCGGCAGCCTCGAGGCGCACATGGGCACGTCTCATGTCACTCTTCGTCAGGCTCTCGAGCACCTCATTGGCGATGTGACGTACCCGGCTTCTTCCTCCGCTCCAACAAGCGTGAGGCAATGCATCTTGGTCGACCCTAAGAAGTTGCGCTCCGCTAGTATCACGCTCACCCTGCCCAAGGCATCCCTCCTGGGGGAAGGCGTCAGTCTTTCCAAACACTTCTCTTTCCCACCAGACTCCCCTGCATATAGCTGGGGAATTTGCTTGAGTCTTCACAGGCTTCGTGTACCCACGCTCATCGGGGTGAACGACAATGAGAGGGAAAGGAAACAAGTCGTCATCGCGGACATCGACGTCGACATGTTTGACAATGATGGGGACATGTACACGAGTCTGGAGGCTACAGTGATCAAGGTAACTATCAACTTCGTCGCTTTCAACCCCCCCCCTCCTTCCCCCCCGGAGTGATTCCTTTAACCAGCACGACGCAACCCCAGCTAATGAGGTGACTCGTTCCACCGTCCGTCCGTTTTTCAGACTATGGAGGCGTCTTCCTTCGAGACACTCGAGGCACTTGCCATTGCCATTGCCGCCGACCTTGCAACTCAACTGAGGAGCGAGCCATGTGTCCCAAGATGTTGGCATCTCAAGATTGGCCTGGAGAAGCCAACAGCTGTACCCATGGCTCAAGCTGCACGGGTTGAGTACAGAACGAGCTCGGACGGTCCTTGAAGCACCCCATCCAGAAAAGAATAATGTAACTCTTAGTGGCAGAAGTATCGTCCTCAAACTTTGAGCTGCGGCTTGTAAGCAGAAACTGTATCGAGGGTTGCTGGCATTCTGGTATCGCCCTCTGAGCTTATCGCAGAGGGGCTTGTCGTCATTGGTGATGTGCCGAAGGAACTCCGAAGGAGGGTCGAAGAGCATGACATGGAAGTGTTCGACGGCGTGGACAGACTTCAGGCTGCTGCAGTTCCTGAACGAAATGACCTACCCATCCCCATCGGTTATGATGGTAAGGTTAGCCATTCCCACCTCCACATGAGAAAGAGCATCCATCTCCTACCGCCCTTTACATGACCTATCTTACCGTGTCTTTGGGCAATTGTTTTCGAAACGTCTCGCCAACAAACCGACCCACTTCCGCCCTAGTCGACTCCTTGAGGTCTCCAGTCAGAGGATCGTCCTCCAAGACAAACTTAGTCCACACAACCAAGTGCTTGATTCGCTCATCGATCCCGTAGGGCCAGTCGTTGAATAGAATCTTGACATCACCTGGGTCCTGGAAATATCTCCCGTTCGCCTGTAATGGTTGCGTCCAGTGCAGCCGCTGTCCAAGGATAAAGTTCATCACGCTCCCATGCTCCTCCATCACTTCGTGGACGAAAATCCTGTACCGCCTCAACTCGGACGGCACACGCTGAAACAAATCGAGCCGGTTTTCCGCCACGAGCTGCCTCACCTCTGGCCATGTTTGTGAATTGTATGCATCATCCGGAGTGCTGAGAATACCCACGTCCTTGGCACTGAGATGCTGCAACGCTTCGGGGCACTCGTCCGACCTCTCTTCTGGGGGCACATTAACTTGCCAGTACGGCAGTGCAGGGATAGGGCCGGCATCGATATTATCCGTAGAACAACCCATCCTGTAGCCGCTGGGGAACAGAGGGCGAAAAGGGGGCAGGGCGGGAAATAGGGCGATGCGGGGGATGTCGTACGAGACTACAGATACTTGATATTGAAGACCGTGGCTAAGCTGAGGGTAGGTGTGGGTCCGAGTGGGGCGAAAAGTTAAGCTGAGGGTTACTATAGGTCTGCTTTCTGATTAGTCACCCTGGGGAAACGTTTCTCCTAGCTTTACGAGTCGTGTCGTAACACGTTAACGTGTTTTCCCTCCTCTTTTCCTAATACGCTTTTAATTAATTAGTCGAACTATTTCGTAATCGCGTTAAATATATTATAAGGAGCATTTCTATTAAGGGTTCTTATATTATCTATCGTAAAAAGTGCTTTTCTATTATTACTAAAAGGAAGTTTTATATTATCACGAAGAGTGTTTTTCTCCTACCTATTATAAGGGTGGTTACCTAAGATATTTAGTTATATAATCTTAATAAATAGCCCTATAGCAATCCTTAGCTGAACTTTTCACCCTACTCGGACCTATATCTACTATTAGCTTAGCCATAGTCTTTAATATCAGTTTATCTATAACCACTATTATACGAACTGTATATACTTTAAGCGTACGATAAGGTAGCGCTACCTTAGGTAAGAAATGGCGCACAGACCTCTATCTACCGAAAAGACCGTAGTTTTACGGTTACGTAACGCACTGGATTTGCCCGAGATTGTAATCTCGGCCACTCCGGGTGGACACCTGCAAAATCTGCACTATATAAAATAGGGTGGCAGCGCTTCCCTGACGCGCTTATAGAGTTATGATTATATATAATTACCTTAATTAATTTTGACTTCTTTTATAACGATTTCGACTATGCTTATCTGATAATTAAGAGTCTTACTTACTAAGTGAAACTCTACCCTTTATCCTTACTACTACTAATAAAACAGCTATCTACCTACGCCGATCTAGCGTGTCTATTAATAAATAAAATATCGGAATATAAGCTAGTTAAATATAAAACCTATCGTGATTAGGAGCTCTAGCGTAGCTATTACGAAGCTACGGCCGTTAATAATAACGTATAGGATTATCTACGGCCTAATAATCCTATTCCCCCTCCTTAAAGGCCTGCTCTGCCTTCCTATAACGCCTTCTAAGCGTCGAACGCTATTATATAAGTAGGCGCTACGCTTACATCGCTATTACAGCTAATACGCGGCGGATAGCGTGCCTATAAATCTACGATATAGCGTTAGAAGATATAGGGGGATAACTACGTTAAATACGCTAAAGGTATTAATGTCGTGCTAACGTGGTAGACTAATACTATCGATAAAAGCCGTAAGATACTTCTACGTAACGCTATACTATAAGAGGTATACGAAGCTATTTAACGCGATACCGCTTACTATTTAGCTACGCGCTGCATGAATACCGACAAAGAATATAACGAACACATTTGTACTACTCCAAATAGTCTTAAAAGACTATAGAAGTGGTTATTAAGATAGCAGGAGCTGTTAAAGGACCTGAAAGAGGTTAAATCGATGCCTATAACGTATATCTAGGTCGTAAACTTCTTTAGAAGTATACGCGGGATAGCTAGGCGTAACTAGACCGAAGCCGAGAGAGGCCTCTTAGATAAGGAAGTAGTCTAGCCCGAGGATCTTTATACCCTTAGTTAATAATATATCGAGACTAGACTTAAAGACTAAGGAAAACGCGGTAACTATTATGCTATAGGGATCGTATCGAGTATTTAAAGTAACTGCATAAAGAGATTAAACGCGCTAAATCCGTGGTCATAGCGACGATAAAGGCCCCGAAGGGTATAGTAGATCGATAGAGGTAGATCCAATTAAGTAGATCCGGCTCATTAGAATTAAGGAACTAGTTAAGATAGATTTAAATTAAATGCTTAAATATGGCGTATTTAGATCCTTTTTATAAGGGCGTTTTCCCTTAACTATTACTTTTATAATAGAAAAGCTGAGAGCTTTCAGTTTAAACCAAAGCCTCTAATTTGTTAGTTAACCTAGGAAAACCCACCTTAAATAAGGGGGTGTATCGTATAAGCACACGGACCATGTCGTGGTCCCTAGGGGATCTATATCTAACTAAGGGCTTCGGACCTCGGGGACCTCGGGTATTATAATATAATAAAGGAGGATACCAGAAAAGACCGAATAGGATCTAAATAATATAGTACCCATAATAGAGTCTTCACCACCTAAATTAAGGCCATAAAAGACTTACACGGATATAACTTAATATAATACATATATAGGAGGTTTCTGCTCTATTAAGTTAATTATACAAGTGCTATTTTGACGTGCGATACTTATATATATGCCGACTATTATACACCACATAGGAGAGATCTAGTAAGAAGGAAGGAAGGCCTTAGTCTAGGGACGCTTCGATATAATTTATTAGAAATAGTGCCGGTCTTTAGACGGGCACCTCCCCCGAACCCCTATAATATATCGAGTATAGATAACGATACTTAGAGCTATACTACCTACGTGGAGGATAATACCTAGAGTAGCCCTATACCGAGAAGCCGGCGTGCCTTCCGTAAAAGAATATACCGAGTACCTCCGATAAAGGTATATAATACGACTTATAGGACTAGAAATAGAGTACCCTATCGGATAAGCGGTAATCGCGATTAATAGAGGAGAGGCCAGGAAGACTAAGACCCCTACCCAGAGGTTACGGGTCCTACGGACTCGCGAGCTTATACAAATAAACCTACTAATGAACCCGTTTATACGGCTCCCGTTTGCTGGAATATAACACTATAATAAGCTACTTAATAACCGCCTAAAGGAAAAATCCGCGAAGGCTTTAAACGAATAGGTGGATAGACTACCCCTAGAGTATATAATAGTTTACTCCGACGAATTAGAGAAAAAGTAAAATATAACCTAGGTATTCTCCGTCTAACGCGGCGGGCGAGAAATTACCTTAGGGCGCGGGTACCTCTATACTACGGTAGTATGTAATAGGGAGGTTATAGGAGTATCGCGCGGCTTTACCATAGTACTACGGCTACCGGAAATAGACTAGGTCTCCTGCTATATCGATAACTAAGCAGTACTTAAGGGACTAGCTAGTATAGTCCCTAGATCGTTAAGATACGAATTTCTATAATAGTAAAGACTAACGAGTAAAGTCTTTACCGACCTTAAGTAGTGCCCGGAGTATATACAAATACCAGGTAATAAAAGAGCCAATAAGCTTTACTCTAAGGACGATATATACGTTATACTACTATTACGGGTTAACCCCGATATAAAGGATCCGGCTATACTCCGGATCTTCCTGACTACGCGCTTAGTTAACGGACCTATATCGCCTAGTCATCGCTACCTTATAGCTAGCCTAGCGCTATAGACTTTTCTCCTTTTCCTTCTTCCTTCCTTAGTTTTAGATAATCTATTATTACGACCTTACTTAGTACCACGATCTATAACTAGTCGTTTATATATCTAGAACTTAGCGATACCTACGCGCTATGCTAGTAATAGATCAGGATCCTAATACTACTACCTAGCGACCTATTAGAATTAAATAGGTCGCGGAGTGGGCGAACTAACAGTTCGAAGAAAATAACCGAGTCCTAAATATAAGGCCAGGCCCTCTTTATAAATAATGTACTGATATTAACGTAAGGCTTACTCCGATATAAGAGTATTACTCGGAAATACGCTAGTTTATAGAACGATAACGCGCTAGACAAGAAGCTAATAAGCGATAACGCCTATTAGTTAAATAGCTCGTAGCCCGGCTCCTAGGATCGCTTACTCTATAAGATCTAATACCGCCTAACTTAAGTATTCCGGCTCCTTTATAGACCCCGATAATCCTTATACTAGTAGAATCTACCATATTACCGGTTCTATCGCTAGCACTATAGCTAATAATAATAATAGCCGCCCCGACCTTAACGGCGACACCCCGTAAGACTATTAATAGCCCTATAAAGTGCTCGGGGAAATAAGTATACCATAGCGTATAGGCCTATACGATAAGGTAGAAGCTTATATTCGATAGCGACCTATTCTAGAATAATATATAAGCTTAGTATATAATCTATAATTACTTAGGGCCCGAAGTATAACAGGTTATATCGGCCTTCTAATAAAGTAACGGACCGGGTAAGCTTATAAACCCTAATAACTTTATAGCGTATCTTAATCGTACTTACCTTAACTCTATAGAATAATTATAAGCTACCTAAGCCTTACACACGATTCGTTAATAATTCGATAAGTTATTTACCGCCTTTCTACCCCGTTTTAAAAGATAGATTACCCTTATAGGCGGTACTAAATAAGAGGCTACTATGTAGATCGTATTCCTTAAAGGAGCGATTACCTCGTAACTTAGGGATAAGCTTATCTCCGCCCGTATCCTTACTAACCACTATACTATATAGGTTAATAGGGTATAAGAGATCGCCGGGAAACTTAAAGGTTATTAGTTCGAATAGAACTACGATAAATAAGTTTAAGACTATATAACTACGAAGAAGGATACCGATAACGATATAAAGATAGATGGAGTAAACCATGTTAGCGACGGGAAGGCGAAGTAAGAGACTCGGATATACTATAACTATAATAAGAAAGGGTATATCGCGCGGAACTATAAAAAGCTAAAGGAAAACTAGGATATAGCCCGGAAGGTTTAAAAGACTCGTGTAAAGGATCGTAATAAGAGCGGAGATAAGTCGATTAGCGAGGATAACTCGGAAAAAGAATAGCTTTAATACGAAAATAGTCGTTAAAGCCGATAGCTATAATATAGCGGGAGTAAAAGGCGTTTAAAGTGCGTGCTAATAATAACCCGGTATTTATAATAGCTAGAGTAAATAAATAGCATATCCTCGCTCTTATTAATACTAGTTATAATTATTGTACCGCTATAGGTAAATAGTTTACCTAAAGACTCTAATTACTATTAGTCGATAAAACGAATCGACTACTAAATAGCTTCTTAGAAGCTACTAGGACTATTAGTAGCGCGGGGATTACTATCTAAAGCTTAAGATTAACGGCTACCCGTAAATGATATTCGGATATATAGTACCCGGGCTTAATTAAGATATATTCCTTAGGAAGCCCTGGATAGAATAAAATAACGTGATATACTACGCTAAGGATAAACGGCTTTACTACGGAGTAGCTAAATTAAATATACGACTTTATCACGATAAAGAATCTACTAGAGTATAAGCTATCTATAACGGTTATTTAGTTACTAGATCCGTATTCACGAGTATTATCCGATAATTACGATAAAAGGGCGAAGAAGTCTTAGTCTAGAGAGTAAGCTTAAGGGATATCGAAAAAGCGTTATATAAGAAGTAATTAGCGGACTTAGAAGACTTTATACCTAAAGAGCTATTACGAGAATTCGGCGATCTATTTACGCCTAATAAGGCTAATTAAGTACCGCTATACCGACTAGGAGTTAACTATAAGGTAAACCTTTTACCCGGAAATAATAGTAAGGAATTATCGCTCCCCTAAGGATCGCTTTATAATATATTAAGAGAAGAACTCCTAGTATTACGGAAAATACGTACCGACCTAATAGATAAGGGATTTATCCGTGCTAGTAGTTTAAAAGCCGTGGCTCCTATCCTTTTTATAAGGAAGCTAGGCGGAGGACTTTATTTTTATTACGACTATTAAGCGTTAAACGCCATTACTAAGTAAGACTATTACTTACTCCTTTTAATCGCTAAGATACTTTAAAACCTAAGCTAAACGAAATAGTTTACGAAACTCGATATAGTCGTTATTTTTTATAAGATTAGGATAGCCTTCGGATATAAATATAAGACTATATTCCGAACTCGGTTTAGGCTTTTCGAATAGCTTATCTACTTATTCGGCCTAAATAAAGCCCCCGCGACTTTCTAGCAATATATTAATAAGATACTATAACGCTTCCTAGACGACTTTATTACCGCTTATATTAATAATATCCTAGTCTATTTTAGCGGGAGTTAGGCTAATTATAAGGCGAAGGTAAAATAGGTACTCCGCCCGCTCGCGGACGCTAGTCTAAACCTAAATCCGTTAAAGTATAAGTTTAGTGTGAAGATAGTAAAGTACCTAGGATTTATAGTTATGATAGGGAAAAGCGTATCTTATAACCTAGAGAAGTTATAAGTTATCCGCGAGTAAGAAACGCCTATAATAGTTAAGGGAGTACGAAGCTTCCTAGGGTTTATAAATTATTACCGGATCTTTATTAAGGACTTTTCGGGGACCTCCGCCTTATTAATAATATTTACTAAGAAAGACTATACCTTTTAATAGGGTCCCGAGGAAAGAATAGCCTTTTGCGAGCTAAAAATAATGTTTTAAAAAGGACTAATACTATAATAGTAGGACTTAGTAAATATGATATTTATCCAAACAGACTATTTAGGGTTCGCCCTTAAGGGTAGCCTAATATAAGAAAACACGGACGGAAATTATTATATAGTCGTATACTACTCTTATAAACTTAATAGAGTAGAAAATAACTACATAATCTATAATAAAGAAATATTAGCGATTATAAGTTATCTAGTAATGTAGCGGGCTAAGCGTATTAGCTATAAGTAGTTTATAGTCCTCTCCGACTATACGGCCTTTAAGTACTTTATAATAAAGCGAACGCTTATGAAATAATAAAGCTAATAGGCCGGTAAGCTGATATAGTTCGACTTTATACTTAAGTATCGGAAAGGAAAGGATAATATAATAACGGATACCCTCTCGCGTTAATAATACGATAAGTCTTAAGATATAATGGACGAATAGGAGTAATCTTATTATATTTAATTAATCCCTAATACCACGATTCTACTTAGTATTCGCTATATTAATAGCAGTTAAATAATCTTCGAGGCGGATTAAAAGCTATGAGGATTATAGAATAAGACGCTTATAACCGATAAATAGTATTAAGGAGCCTTACCCGTGGTTATTAAAGAAGAATAGTAGTTCCTACTATTATTAGAATTAAAGCTATAAATAGCCAAGTACTTTATCTTAATTACCCAGTTATTACTATTCCGCGAC